TGGTAGATATCAATTAGCATTTCGAACAATTAAACGTCTAATTAGTATAAGATTCTTCATACCGCTGGTTTATATTTCACAAATCACTTGCATCTCTTTTTTCTTATTCGGCTGCTAATGATACTGTCGACGGACATTTTTCGGCATTAAGAAGCTCTGGAAAACATTTATTTTTGACGGATCATTAATTACGAGGGGAAATAATGTCCATTACATGGCGATTCTCTGAGACTTAGGAGCAACGTAATTCATATTCGCACTTCCATTTAATCTTGTGGTCAATGTACTTTTTAGCCGGGAGCGAAATTTCTTGCTGCAGCCGTAAATAATTTCTATAAATAATTGCTCTCCGATTTAAAAATCATTTCTTTCTCTTTTAGAAAGTTAGGTAGTCTGCAGTTATCTCCGAGATTAATGTTAAAAATTGTCACTTCTTAATCTGTAATCTCCTTTGAAAATTATGAATTGTTCTCTATTAATTATTTTTATAATATTCAAATAGTTCAAGGTAATATTTATTGTATTTGCATCATACTATATTAGCATTAAATAATGAGAAGATTAGCATGTCATTATTCTTTTTCATATGAACGATTGATTATGGTATGTATGGAATATACAAATATAGCATATAAAAATTATTATTACAAAATTGAAATTAACTATATCTTTAGTTAAGTATATTAGTATGAATTTAGTTGTAGATATTTCTAAATTTATTAACAAGGGCATTTCAATAATGTTTACGGAACAATATATGTTATTCTCGAAATTTTTAATTTCGCTTAAAATAGTAGCTTTAAGGTATGAAAGTTGATATAAACACAAGATTCAACGATAATTGGTCAATGACTGAATTTTTAACGACCTTAAAATTATAATCATTTAAAACTTTTATAAAACTTTACAAAAAACATTATAAAACATTAATCGTTTTTTTTTTTTAATTATATTCAACTAGCAGTTTTCATTTACAATAATTATTTATTTGATCAATTTATCATTACTAGATTTATTATTTAAATTCTTTTAGTTTTATAATGAATGACAAATAAAATATCTGTCCAACAATATTGTTTTTTAAGTGTAAATTATTTATACTAAATACAATCTTAGTATATTTATTGATAAGGTTTTATCGGTTAATTTTATTACGAAAAGAAGAATATGACTTGTTAAAAAATATACTACTTACAAAAACTTAAAATTTTTCAATCCACTGTATTTATTTATCAAGGTAGAGAACTCAAAAAAGCGATTCCGATTTATTTTTAATAAGTAAAATGTAAATGAATGTTTTAAGTATATTGTATTCATTGTAATCAATAATGACACGAATAATGAGTTTTTAAACTATTTTGTCTATAATAAAATTCAGAAAATAAAACTGATAGAAGATAATTTATCAAATGATAATTGTAGTGATTATATAATTATGTATCTAGGTGAAAACTTATTCAAAATATATTAGAAAATTTTTACAATAATAATCGTATAGAAAATAAATGGATTCATTGCAAAATATAAATCGAATTGAAATTATAAGTCTATATTATATTTTCAATAAAGTAAATAACAAGTAATTACTTTTTATTTCCGGAATACAATTCATTATAACGTAACAACATATTAGTTATTCTTATTGGTTATATTAATAATGTAAGGTTTCAGAATAAATAAGAATAAAATGCTTTAGAGACTACAATCAAGTTACAATTCAAAAAAATCTAACCGATTACCGTTAACATAAGCCACTTATTATTCTCAGTACTGATGCATGATTGTTTTACCCGAGAAAAATTAATGAAAGATCAGTAAATATTCATGTGATTCCATATATTTTATGAAGGTAAGGATATCCATTTAGAACAAAAAATAGTTTTGATAATAAATAGCCTATTTAATTTAGCTTAAATTTAAATATCGTTAAATTAGTGTATGTAATAAAGCTTTTTCTATATTTTGAATTTTTAAAAACTTGTCAATGATATAATAGAATATATCAGATGTTAAACAAATTATTTATATTACAATATAGATTCGATGTTGCTTTTTAAAAAAAAAAATGATTAATTATATTATTTTTCTGCCATGTAATTCTTTATTAGATTACCGGAAGATAAATTCAAGTATAGAAACGGATCAAAATCATAATTAAAAAGAATTTCATAAAGAATTATAGTAAAAATATATATATACTAATATATGTTCAATTAATTTCCTAAAAAATATTAAATATTGACCTCGGTTATTACAATATTTAAAATATTATTATATGTACTGATTATATTAATCTTTAAGGCTCTACTTTAAACATTAAGTTTGTTTGTTGATCAAAGAAAAATCGAACTAAAATGGGAATAATTTCTCTGACACTTTTGAAACATAAGATTTTAATATCTTCCGTTTGACTTTTTCATGAATCCGATTTAAAGAGATTTCAAATTATCTAATATATTAATTAGATTTATTATAATTTTATAAAATACTATACAATATTAATTTTTTAATTTTTACTTCTTTTTGTATTACATATTATATAATAAAGCATAAACAAATGAAAAATTTTATATTTTAATTTATATTATTTATATATTTTCACGATTACTTATGATTATCGTCAATTTTTAATAACTATATAATATATATGCTAATGATAGTCTACATACTACAAGTTTTGTATAGATATTTATAAAATACGCTATAAAATTATTATACTATTATTTAAATTTTTATTAATTTTATTTAATTAATTATAATGGTTTAATTATTTATTATTTTTAATTTAATTATTAATTATCGTATGTAATTTCATTATTTTTATACATGAAAAGTATATGGATGATATATACAAATTTCATTAAATAAATTTTAAATAAAAAAATTATTAATAATCAATAGAAGAATAAATTACTGTTCCACATTTTAAAAAAAATTAAAGAAAAATTTACTTTATTCTTATGATAGTAATTTAATCATTATTAAATCAATAATTTAAGTTTTCTACTATGTTTTTTAATTTTAAATAATATAATTTTAAAACATTTCAATATTCTTGATATCTATAAATAATTTCATTCGATATTTAAGCATATTTTTAAAAACAAAAAGAATGAAAATAATGGATAATGTATAAAAAAATTTTATTTATATATCAACTTCAAAGGTAGTAAAATTTGAGAATGCAGAGCATTTAAAAAGAACTATAAGTTTTGATTAGATAATATTATTTAATTTTAAACTTTGATTTTTCACTACAAAAATATATATGATAATATTTTTAACAATGTTACAAATATTTAATTCCCATTAGATTCTAGATGAAGTGAAACATAGCAAATGAAGATTTAGTGGTAAGTGAAGAAATATTAAGTAAAGTCTATTTGTGTCCCAAGATTTATTTTAAATTACCTTATTGAATGAATATAAGTAATTTACAATGTATTTATATTGCCGTGAATACGTTTTTTTTCTTCTTTTTTTTTTTTATTAATTGTAATGGTTGATTTATCTCTAAAAGTTTCAGTTGTATTTTTTATGAATTTCTATTTAATAAATAAATAAAATTTCACTTTACACGAATTAATTAAGTGTAACAAACAGTAAAATAAAGTATTAAACTAAATTTTGTGTTAAAAATATTAACCACGTTTACTTAGAAAAATTAGCTACGCCTGCTTTTATATATGCATTAACATTTTAGAACATTGATTGTTTTGATTATAATATGGGCATTTAAAGTTTAATTCACGAGTAACTCAAGTTTAATTCAAGAGGTAACTTTAATTTCATATGTTACATATGAAATTTTATTAATTTAAAAATTTAAATGATACAAAATATAGATATTTTCACGATACAAATAAAAAATATATCAAATGAAAAGATTAATTAAAATTTTGCCATTTTATTAAATGTTATTCATTAGGTGTGTATATAATTTTTCTCTAGCATAAAAATAAAATTTATCATATAATTTAGTTTATAAGAAATATTCAACATTTATTGAGAACTGAAACTAAATCACCGTACGATGCTAATTCAATCATTTAATAACAATGTTGATAAATATTCAATGTAGAAAAACGTTATTCATAAAATCAATAATAGAAATAGTTAATACTGTCAAAACGTTGCTATACACAAGTATTGTAGTCCGAAAATGCATAGTGACTAGATTTGTCTTTTAAAATAACAAAACCATTATGAAAAAATTTGAATTACCCCTTTTACTATAAGTTAAATGAAAATAGGCATTGATAATAAGAATCAGCTGGGATATTAGATTAATATTTTTATACATAATCATTTTTTTTGCAAGACACTCACTTTTATACAACGTTAATGAAATTATATCATTACGTAACGTATTTAAAAGTTGCCAACGAAATTCATCATACGTTGCAATGTATAATGACAATATAAAGCATGAATAAGAACAGTTGGACGGGCATTCGGATAAAAAGAAGGTGGGGCTAGGACAAATAAGATAATAATTGACGATAAAATCTCTATGTATTATTCATTTTAATTTACATAATGCAATAAACTTTATGTTTTCTATATGGGTGGATTTATAAATATTACAGTATGCTCTGGCATTATAGCAACATGAATTTTATTTTCTGAAACTCGACCTAGAATGCGCACGCTACAATTATAATATGCACACGCATGAAACATTCTTAAGAATGTTCATAAATAATCATTCACAAGTAATATCTTAAGCATAAAACCAACCACGGTTTTTAAACTCATACAAATTACACACGGGCCCGCGCGCACGAACACACACACGACCAAACATACTCACAACCCCCCCCCCCCCCCCCCCCCCCCCCCCCACATATATATATATTCAAAGTTTTAGAGCATAGGATAATATATAGGCTCCGTTATAAATTAGTATCGTTATTAACTATTGCCAAGATAGAGAATTAAATTATAAAGAATTCCCATTGTTGGCCATACTGACATAATATTGAAATAACGTGTAAATTAAAAAGTTTACGAAGCGCCTCTGCCACACTTACCGACTGGAAAAGCCGCAAGCAAAAGTGCTATACGAAATATCGAGGCCCATTCTCTGAAACATTCCAAATAACGTATGATGTTGCGAGGTCTCGTGAAAGGCGTTGGTCGTCAACGGACCGATGAAGAAACTTAATGTCGAACCGCGCGGTCGACATCGAGGTGCAGCGTCATAGTCATCATCGACGACATCGTCGTCGTCGTCATTGTCGTCGCCACTCCGTGAATCTCTCGACTCCCGCTAGACAAAAATTGGCCGCTATTTGGGGCGCATGCGCGGACGGCGTTAACGCGGTCGACGCCGTTCGCGGCTGCTCGTCGTCGTGAGAGCAGCGATACTCCGCGGATAGTCCGGGAGCGGCTGCGTCGGCGAGGTTCGTCGGACGTGCTGGTCAACATGGCGTCGACCGAGCAGGTCGGCCTCAACAAGACCTGGGAGTTATCACTCTACGAGCTCCACCGCACGCCCCAGGATGCTATAACGGACAACACGGAGATCGCCGTCAGCCCTAGGAGTCTGCACAGTGAGCTTATGTGCCCGATATGCCTGGATATGCTGAAGAAGACGATGACGACGAAGGAGTGCCTTCACCGTTTTTGCTCGGACTGCATCATCACGGCCCTCAGGAGCGGAAACAAGGTGCCGCGCGAGATTGTGATGTGGGGGCTTACCGGGGACGCGGATCTATGATTTTAGGTTAGCAGTCGTGGTGTGCTACGCGAAGACTACACATTTTTGTTTACTAAATTTACTTGGGTGTACGCTGTCTGTGAAAGGGCTCGTTGCCGCGACTTTTCAGCCAAACACTGGACCCAAGCTTCTAATTGTGCCTTAGGTTGCTTTCTCTTTTATCGAATTTCTCACTCTACCGAATGTGTTTTTCAGTCCTTTAACTACGTCATTGTATTCTCTTGTGCTCGTAGTCATATCTCGTATATATTTTGCATACCACTTCGAAGTAAAAGATTTTTACGTCGATGTCACATGAAATCACATGAAATTGAAGCTGCTACAACATTTCCCATAAGCATTTCTTCGACTGGATTTCCTTCCAATTTTGAAGCATGTTATCAGTTGAAAATAAGACACAAGGAAATAAGAAAAATTATTTGCAATCTTGAAAGAACTTCTGTTGTTTTTATTTTACAAGCTTGAAATTTGTCTACATTAAAACAATAACAATGACAATTACTTCCCAAATTATAAGCTTATCAACTTAATATACACGTGCTAAAGATATAAACCATCGATTACCAATTAATTTTTATGATTTCATTGTTTCAAACTAGAGCCAAATTTAACTATAGATTGTTTACTTTATAAATGTTATTAACTTATTACATTAATGCATTGCATTTAAATGACAAAATATTTAAGACTTTGTATTTGACACGTATTTCGTATTGGTGTTTATTGCAATAAGTGTTCTATTTTTATAATATATACAATCAATTCAAGGTCACTAATTATTGTAATACTTTTAGGAATGTCCTACGTGCAGAAAGAAACTTGTTTCAAAACGTTCTTTGCGGCCAGATCCAAATTTTGACTTATTAATTTCTAAAATTTATCCAAGTCGAGATGAATACGAAGCTCATCAAGAACGTGTTTTAGCAAAATTAAACAATTCACATTCTCAAGCAGCTCTTGTAAATTCTATTACCGAAGGAATTAAGTTACAAAGTCAAAATAGGCCTCAGCGTTCAAGAAAAAATGCCAATGAGCTTGAAAATGCCAACAGTACTGCATCGTATAATAACACGCCAAATGTCAGCGCACCCACGACACCAAATCCAGCTATCACAGCAGCTAATCAAAGTGATTCATCCCAAAGTGCAATCGGCCAATCGAGTAATGGTGGCAGTAGGGAAAATCATTCGACAAATTCAAACGGTGTGCCTCAGCCTTCGATCAGTCCTGCAGTCTCTGGTAAATATTAAATGACAAAATAATAATAAAAGTAATTTGTCTAGAAGTGTCAATTAATCACTGATATTAACTGTATCTTTTAAAAAGTAAAGTAGCACAGTATTTAAGAAATTTAAGTAGATATACAAATACAGAAGTTATACCTGAGATAAAGCTTATACTTGTATACTTGTATACTTGTATACGTAAGACCATTAAAATGTATATAATTTATTCTTCTATTATTGAAAAGGTACAACGTCAAGAAACTCAACAACACCTTCGCCAGTGCCATCGAATCCCAAGCCTCCAAAACGACAAAAGAGCCTTCAAAATTCAGAAAATGATTCGTCTAGTGCCGAGGTTGAAACCGGCGGTAATGATTCCATGATAGACACTGAAGGAGAAGGATCTAGTGAACCTTTGATGCTGAATGAAATAGAATTAGTATTTAAACCACATCCTACAGAGATGGCTGGCGATAATTCTTTAATTAAAGCTCTTAAGGAAAATAGTATTAGATATATTAAAACTACAGCTAATGCTACAGGTAATTGTTGTTACGAATACATTAAAATTTCACTTATTCAACATAACAATGGCTATAGTATTTTTGAAAAGTTTGACATATAATTTATATTTATTTCTATGTAAGTTAAATTGAAAAGATAAAATAAATAAAATATGTTTAAAAGTGTAGATTGAAAATTAATTTAAAAAATTTTTTAAATTTCAGTGGATCATTTAAGTAAATATTTGGCAATGAGACTGACACTGGATTTGGATACAGAACTACTTTCCGAGTCTGATAGGTTACTGAACTTTTGCATTTATATTGCACCAACACCGGGCCAACTTGTGGTTCTAAGTGGTTCACAAACCCTTCGCCAAGTAAATGATAAGTTTTGGCGAGTCAATCGACCATTAGAGATGTATTATTCATGGAAAAAAACCTAGGGCAGGGCTTATAAATCTCAGGTGGACAATGGTTAAATGCATTCCATAAAATCTCCGGAATGGCAAAATTACGTGTATGCGAAAAATGTAATTAGACGACTTAAGCTACGTTTTAAAACGCTGTTTATAATGAAATACGACAAAATAACGATGTACATTTTAAAAAGGATAGGATTCCCTTTCAAAGTTAATCTATTTTATTAATTTTACGCTTACGCAACGTCTGAATTATGAAAATATGTCTGTCAAATATTTCATTCTGCGTTTAATGATTGCAATACTGACTCAGATAAGTTTGCGATGTAGTCGTTTCTTAAATAAAATTTTAAAGTACAGTTTTTATAATTTACTATTTACAGTAAGATGCATTACCAATTGATTAAGGACAAGTTTGAAGTTTATATTTACGTTGACCACAGATTCCATTTGTATTTATTCTATCAACATATCGACACACGTACAGAAAACATGCACGCATAAGTAAATTTTGAAATAAAATTCTTCAAAAAAAATTGAAACACGAAAGAGGATGCAACTGTAGTAACATAATACCTAATTATGCAAGTATTTAAGAGTGAAAATATTAATATTATGATTATTATGTATTCTAAAATTACATGAATGATATTTTTTGTGAGTAAATTATTTCCTTTTTTTTTTTTTGTAAGCATTACTAATAAAAAATATTATGTACTTTTGTATTATTAGTAACGTTATTGTGAAGTGAAATTCAATTTATAATATTAAACACAAGAATAAGAAATTGTTTATTTTGAAGTATTACTGAGAATTGATATTTTTCGATATTGTAAGAAGATCGTCTCTTTTTATATATTGACCAGAAATTTCAGGTTATACTTTGAAATTGTGGATGCCCACTGTGTGTGAAATTAATGCATTAACAATAAATGCATGAAAAAATAAAACTGAATTCTTATTGATTAATCTAATGAGTTTTATATTAATTCTTATGTAGAGAACTATTTCTTTGTACTTTTTGTGAATTATTATTACTCTCAGAAATTAATATTATTACTAATCTTATTAAATTATCATTACTTTCATAAATTAATATTATTAATTAGAACAAACTGATCCATAGTTATAAAATTAATGTATATATATGCATCGATTAATTAAGAAATAATTATATATCACTCAGATTTTACCTAATTATTAAAAAAATGTTTTTGGGTTTTTTATTATTTTCTCAGTATGCAAAACAAGTTCATAGCAAAATCAGACCTAATACTCGGCTATCTATTTTCATAACAACCAACTTGCAGTTATAAGTATAAAAAGACCATGTAGAGTAGGAAGCGTTATAATTTTCATTTTTGTGATGAACAGGTATTATTTTAAAAGATTCAATACCATAGGTGCATATTACGACTAAATGGCTAATTTAATTCTATAATAATGTAATTGATCTAACAACATATCCTTGGACTTGTACTTTTATCTTTTTTTAAAACGTCGAATTCTTTACATCTTCAGTGCTTGGAAGATATGAATGACTAATTTCATTAGAAAAACCAAGAATCTTGATTTCACAATAAAAATTACGAAAGATTTAATTAGAAAAGACAAATAAATAAAATATTTTAATTTATTTCTCAATTAACAAATCTATAATATAGCATATTATATATGAAAAAAATTAATCTAAAATACAAAACCTTGATTTTTATGTAAACCTCTGTTCTCTTTTAAGAAAATATATTTTTTAATAAAAAATGTCAGATAATGTATGAATCGTAATTTTGTTACAATTCAGTCCAAAGTGATATCTATTATTAATATTATTGCAGATATGAAAAAGTATGTTAAAAAGGTAGAAATTTACGAATACCAGAATTAACTATATTTTAGTTATCAAATCAAAATAATATCAAACTTAGTCTTGCTTTTACTTAAAGTCGCTTTATAAATTAAGTAAATGATCACGTATTTTTGCTTTGTCATTTATTATTAATGCTGTGTTATTTAAGTATTTTAGAAAGAATAATTGTCGATTGAATTCAATTAAAAAATTTCTAACCATTTCATTAGACCACTTAACCAATTAACCATTTAATTAGAAAGAAAATTAAGATAATATATAAAACAATTTCTTAATAAATTTTTAATAATAAAATTCCTTTTTAATTTTTTGTATAATTGGATTGATTTACTCGCTGATAAAACATCGTTATAGTCGACGTACTACATAAAGTAGGTTCCATGGAGCTATTTTATTTATTACATGTAGTTTCATTTTATATTATTAATGTTTCTCAGAAGAGAAAAATAAATAAAGAGTTATGACAAATTAATTGAAAATTAGTGTCCAATAAAGTCATAGTCCAATGTACTTATATATTAATATCATAAAGAAATTATACTTAAAATTTAGTTTAATTTATAAACTAAATAATTCTTATTTTCGAACAACATAAATGGATTTTATATGATTACGATAACTTAATCGTTACAAAAGACGGAATTTTGCTCATAGGAATTGATTTTTGTATTATTTTATTGTTATTTATTTTTATACTTATTGTCAATTTAATAAAATACAATGCTATGTTTTTAGCGTATTAATTATATAAATAAGGAAAGTATAGGAAATTACTGAATAAATAAGGAATCTCGTATTTCATTGTTTTCTTAAACTCGTTATAATCGTAGAAAAAAAGAATAATTAATGAGGCAGAAAAATTTTAATTGATACCATCAAAGAAGTTCGCATATTTGATTAGTTCCATTAATATATGTTATTAAAATACGAATATATAAAAAAGTATTTTTACTATGTTTTAACTTTGTTACTCTTTCATTAATTTGAAATATACGTGGATGGAGTATATTAAGATATTAATGTATTTTATCTTGGTAGTAGAAGATCTTCCTCGTTATTCTCACTAACATTTTTACTCGAATGATTAATTTTTGCGATATTAGTTACGATATCATCTCTCTTTAAATTAATTATCCCTTTAAAATATAATTACTGTAAATTAGTCGTTACGTGGAAAACTAATTTAACTAGAAAAACGTGAAAACATGTGATTCCTTACTTCATATACGCATAGAAATATTTCATGTAATTTTATTGAAATTGGCTTAATTTTTGTCGTTTTTTTTTTTTTGTAAAAATTACATTTGTAATTAAATTGAAAAAAGAAATTTTTAAGTTTTTCCATATCAAACTATATTTGGATTATTATACTTGGATTATCTAAATTATACTCAATAATTCTGCATATTTGGTTGTACTTGACTGGGATCGTTATCTTTTATTCAGCAGAATTACAAAATTATAATAAAATTAAAATTCTACGACTTTTATTAATCAGCTTTTCTTCATTATTTAATTAATGCAAATAAAAATCTAAAAAACAATAGAATCTCGTTTTTTTGCCTTAGTAAATACTTATACTCTTACGGAATAATAATGTGCAGTAATAATATTAATATCTTAAATACTAATATAAATACGTAATACGTAACATAATTAACTCTCCAAACAATATGTGCATTAAGTTATAGCATATTGTATTACAAAATTATTAGATGATGGTATTGCATTCATTTACGAAGAGATGCACAAGACACCCAGTGAAGCTTTCTTAGTAATTTCTTTGTGGTAGTTCGTTGAGCAGCTCGAGAATAAATATATCTATAGCTTATTGATATCACTCGAAGAAAGCTATTAATAAAAGAAGGGTATTGTGAGCATTGCTATTAAAACTGCTACCAAAGTAAAAGGGCAGCACCTCATCGATGCTTCGATGTTTTGTATATACAGGTCTCCAAGGCCATTGCACTCATGACTCGCTTATAAACAAACGATATTCACACGCAGTAAAGCTTTTACGAGGATGTAAGCTTCATTTTATCGGTGAGAATTTTGCGGGAACTACCGCATTTAATGTCGTCGTGTTTATCGGGACGCGACTCCTTCTGTATTCCTTTGTGGAATTTACGACGTTGAAGGTAGCGATCGGATTTCAGTCCGCGTTTTACCGAGTGGGATCGTGCGATTGTCCCAATGTTCGCGACGGTTTAGATGCGCCATTCGAACCTGAAAAATTCATATTTCTTTTTTGATATGTTGGATTTCACGAGAGGGAATGCTGGAGAATTGCGTGCTCGAAGGGCTAATATACTTATTAATAAAGGCATAATGGCTAATACTGTAAAAGGTTGAAGTTGCTAATGTTGAACTATGCAAGAACTATGAAATTAAAAAGCATTTAATTAATAAAGAATATAGTAGAGTGGAATAAGGTGAAGGGAAAGTTTTCGTGGAATTAAAAAAACCTCGTTAAATCATGCAAATATTCGATTTGAGATACTATAAAATATAAAAGAAGAATATTTTATTCAATTTTTTAATATTTCAACTAATAATATATGTTTCTAATTCATGTTTTTAAAGTATTACAGTATGATTAAGCTTCAATGAAAATTAGCGATTCGTAGAGAGTAAAATATATACAGATTCACATCGATATTTGTAATTAATGTAATTATTTTTAATTAAATTAATAATACTTTTTAGTTATAAAGAATTATGAAATTTTGAATACTGATTTTCAATTTTTAATTGCCAATTTTTGTGTGGAACAGTTACCTATTATTAAAGATACACTTGGAACGCAAAAAAGAAAGGTTACATTAGAAACATTAGATACATAACGTGCTAAATGATACATAAAAGTCATTAAATGTCGAAGAAATTTTATATAATTGTGGCTTCAGGAATCGTGGTTAGGGATAACTGCGGTAGAAACTATGAACATTACATTTGAAAGTACACTTGCTGAATATTTATTCAGAACTGGTATTACATTAACAAAAATTCGGGTTATACTAGTCATAATATCAATTTTTTTTTTTCATAGTAAGGAAAATACGCCAGATATAAGATAATTAAAGATTAATTAACCTTTCTTTAATAAACACCACGGTCACATTTTAAGATTCATGAAATTCTTTGAGGTTTTATAAGGTAATTGAAAGTTTAATTTCAGAAGTATTTACTGTTACAACACAATAAGATACCGAAGGTGCATTTAAAAAAAACAATAAATAATATAACAAAAATATAAATAATTATAAGGTGAAATTCAAAAATATATGTTAAATATATGTTTCGCTAAGATCCTTATAAAACAGTTTGAAAACCGATTGTATTTGTTTTTGTATTCAAAATGATAATAAGAATAGATATGACCGCGTGAAAAATTGTTCGTTTAAGATTACCAGTTTCTTTTTATGTCTAATAAATTCAAATAAAAATTCTTGATTTATCATATAAATTGATCAAATACGGATAACCTGTTGACGCATACATGTCGATGGTGTTACTTATGTAGAAATACAATATTTGTCACCGCAAATACACGAATAACAAATATTGAGAGTCCATGCTGTCTTTTATGTAGGTAAATTGAAAAATTGCTTCATCACATTCGTGCAATTATAAATAATATTTTTATAGCTAACTTACATGTTGTTAAGATAACTCATATAAACATATTAATTTACAAAATTTTAATTAAAAATGTAAATTGATTTCTCAAATTTCTCCCAATAATAATAATATGCTAAAATTTCAACTGTATTAGATAGATAATAG